TGCTATTAATTTGGAACGATTTTCAAGTACCGTAGCTGCCGAAAATGTTTTCTCCGGTTTCGAAATTAACGACTAATTTATTGATTTTTTAAATTACACTGCAATATCGAAAGCCGCTCTAATGATTCAATTAGTGCGCAGAAATCGTTCCATAAAATCTGAATTCGAGCGATTGTCATGGTTTAAGAGCGCAGAGCACCGCTTCGTATTTGTGGAACAAAGTAATTCTGCAAAATAATCGTCTGCCTCTTCGCACGCACGCCCGAGTGCCATTAGTGCATTTGTATAGTGAACTTTCGATGCAGCGTACTGGCGGCGCGGTGCGGATCGGCGGCGCAGGAAAATCGGTACTATTCGTTACAGGGATCCACGGGACGCGCGAAATTGACGGCACGAATCTCGCCATAACGGCGAGCGCATTATCGTGTTACGTTTCACTCGACGAGACGCGAGCAACGGAAATGAGGACTTATATCCAACCGCTGGCTTCTATCTACCGCAATTTTTTTTCCGGTGCACAGCGAAATTGGCTTTATAACACGCTCGCGAAACCGGAAATGGATAGAACGAAATTCGAAAGACCGATGGAAGCTTTAATTCGCTGAAAATCAATTTCGAAGAGGGGGGATTCGTTAGTAAATCATTGAACGAAATTTACAGAACAGACGGAATTGAAAAACCGAGCCCTTTGTGCACCGATTTCATTTATCTCTGGAAAATGTTACATAATAGGATGCACAATTAAATATTGGTAGCGGAATATGATGGGAAAAAGCAAAATTCATGTTACGAATGTATCGCCAAGAGAGAAAGAATCTTTCTTCTTTTCAATGTTTTTTTTTTATCATATTTTGCAAAATCACGAATCAACAGCAATTTCATTTCACTCGTCGATAAATACGATGATTTAAATATGGAACAATGGTGCGAATGTAACATTTCTTTTACGGATGATGTTTGATGTCCGCGATAACGAAGATCAAATACCGATTCCTTAACTAATCAGCCGAATGGGTGATGAATTGGGTGACTGTAATAGCAAGGAGAATGTAATTAACAATATGTATTTTATATTATTGTTTTACAATATATGGAGTATTTTTCAAAAATTTTCAACAACAAAATCGCGAGCGAGCTTTATTTGTTGTACAGATGCATTCTCGGAATTAGATTGAAAAGCGAATAAAAAGACAAGCAAAAATGATGTAAAAATATGACTAGGAACTATAAATTCAAAATTGTTTAAATCTTACAAAATTTCTAGAACGCGAATTCCACGTTTCTCGCAATTAGCTATCGTTAACCGATTACTATCATTTTCTGGTGGCATAGTAACTGAAATACCAATAGAAAAAGCTTGGGTTGAAGGGGTTAAGTATTCATTGACTGGCGAGCCACCCTATATAATATTTCAGTAACTGTGTGCTCATTTCGCGTTGACGCGAGTACAATCCGGCTGACCGCGATTGTTTTTGCGAGCAACAGAGTCGTCCAAGGATTTTGCGTGGCTTTACATTTCAGCGTTCACCGACGCCAAGGAAGTCGGTCGTCTCGCGGAGCCAGCGAGTGGAAACATTTAAACGGGCCGCATCTCGACAATAGATATGGCGGGCCAGCAACATGGCTTACCGTGGGATTATACCAACGGGGTTTTGATCCGGGCAAACCGACTAGCATTAATACAATTAGCGGGGCTTTCCTAAGTACCGTAACGTGCTGTGGAGAGTCGGCCTCTGCCTCTTGGACTTGGCCCAAATATTCGCGATTCCGGGGCCAAGCCACCGCGAGAGGCGACCTGTCCACGAATTCTATTACGGAGCTGCTGTATTGTTCCGATATGACCCATTGTGCCGCGAATATTTCGTGACGTCAGCCGGTCAGTGATCAGAAATTGGGGAGAAACCGAGAAAGAACTGGAATTGTATAAAAGGGGCCTGAAGAAGAATGAAAGGTGAAGTGGAAGCCTGTGTTCGGAAAAGCACAAAGAAATGAAAATGGAGTGCGAATCGAGATCGAGAAATTGAAGAGTATCATTGGGTAATTGATGTTTGCTGTGTAAACGAGTTGAGATATTCGTGTAAAAACGAATAGGTATTTATTATAATACAGGTACTCATTATAAAAAGGTATTTATTGATTTACAGCATATTTCACTGTGTGAAATGTAAAATAAAAAGAATGCATTTTAACTTATTACTTTTGCGTTATTTTGAATAGGCTTAATAATTTAATTTCACGCGACGTGACGTTGACATTAGTATATTTTTACCATAAACGTCTTGTTTATTATTGATAATAGAAAAGTAATTAGGTTCCAGGGAACAAAGCAAGAATCATGATTTTACACAAAATTAAATCACAGAATTTTATAAAGAAAAAAGTAATTTTATTGAATTTATAACTTATCAATCCCATAACTCCTTCTTTATGCTATAATATAAAAGTAACACATGTAACACATTAAAAAAATGTACAGAATCTCTAAGTGATTTCGACAACATCAATTTATTTTAAGTAGAACTATTCTTTGTGTTTACCAAATCCCAGGAACACAATTTATTCTCGGAGAAATCAATGGAGTATCGAACAACCTCAAAGTATTGTTATATATATCGATATCACCAGGCAACGATCACGTTTGCAAGATTTTTTATGATCCCCTAGGCTATTTATTATCTCTAAACAGCTCGCACAAGTAGAAACCGAAGAATTACCATATTTATATGAGCGCGAACGAGTCGACATTAATAAATTTCGTTCTTACATTTGCGAACAGTTGTGTTGTCGTCGAGTGGACACTATCGTCCCCCTGTTACCTGGAACTTGTAGAAGGATTTCATTGATGACAAAAGACACCGATACCTTTGGCACCTAGATGCCCATTCGTTTACAGTTTAGCACAGACTCGATCAGCTTCAAAGGCAATTCCAGCGCAGCCCGATTGGCCGACACCCTCAGGTTAGAAAGCATCAAACGACCCTGTGGATGGCCGGTCAACTCGGTCACGTTTCAAATCTACACGTTCCTGGACAAAGTGAACAATAGCTATATAGAATCCCCAGACGACGACGCGGAGAGTGGTCGAAATCGATTTCGCGTCGAGACTTTCGATCTAAATACTGCCGCGGCTACTTCTTGTTTACGCAAGACCATGATTGATGCCCTCGCGAGTTCGCCGTTCCCTATCGGAGTTGTTGACTTTTTATAAATGAACTTGAAAGTATTTGCCAACGGTATGATCCGCGAACAAAGGGGCCAATGTAATCTCTATTATTGATTAATTCTTTTTCGGGCATATATGAGAGAGATCCTTGGGACCTAAGAATGAATGTTCATCTGCCGACTATTGGCAAGCTACCAGACAGCTTTCGAAGATATAAAAATTAGATGTCTCCAAGACCTAGATCATGTGTGAATTGCATTGGTCGTCTGTTATTCGTATAATTAAATCATCGTTTGAAACTTTGGGAATCCTATACGTGAATTTGTTAATGCCATTATGACAACATTCATCCTCAAAAGGTCAGAAAAGATTTGTTATACAATCTAATAATGATTATATAGATTGGTACGGATTTTATTTTTACTAACAAAAATTAAATGAATCCAAATTTTATTTGTGCCTCAGTAGATGTTTCTTATTGAAATGGCAAGTTTTGTGGATTTTTATGTAATTTATCCTTGTTCTCTCTGTTCAATATTCTGTGATTTCCTGCAAGTTTATAATATGTAACGTATTAATACTAGTCCTACCAAAATAGTGAAAGAGTCTTTTAAGTGATTTCGACAAGATCAATTTATTTTAAGTAGAACTACCCTTTGTGTTTACCAAATCCAGGAACACAATTTATTCTCGGACAAATCCATAAAGTATCGAATAGTCTCAAAGTATTGAGGAATTAATCTTTGGTACATCAATAAAAATAACACTCTGTATAGTGATATATTAAAATAGTAGTGTGAGACGTTAAAAATAGAAGAACAAGGAGACGAATGTCCGATCCTCTTTGAGAAGAAACAAATAATAGCAGAGGAATTTGGAAATTTTCGCGGAATCGCCCAAGTTTGGGCTACGAAATTTCTTTTGTTCCATGGAAGGGTTGATTGCGTTTATTGAACTCTGGAACGCGATGTCTGGTACATCGTGGATGTTATATCCGCAATAGTGTATCCTATTTGCGGTCGATACGATAAGAAGCACCCGGAGTCGCGTGTCGTACGTGCACGTCTTCCAAAGACGAGGAACAGACGTGTTCCGATAAAGCAACGAGATTAGTATCTTCGCCATAGCAGGGGCGAAATGTTACTTATTTCGTGGCCCACATGCTGCACCGATTCCGAACGTGCCAGATTCAATAGCGACCGCGTCGTCGCGTTTCCGGCACGTACGAACCTGAGCATTGTTGATCAGTCGTCGTCCCTGATACACGGCAGATACCGTGAACAAAGTAAAATCGATTTCTATTCCATACTGAAATTTCATTACAGATGAGAAAAGTACGATAACAAATTAACCGACGGCCCGCGAATATAACTTATGGCTTCTATTGCGACAAAGGAACAGATATCGGATCACGCACACCGATCGATGAACACATTTCTTGCCGCACCTGGTCAGGGGACTGAAAATGTGCACGTTAATTATCCACATTTTTAAACGAGCTCGAAGAAACAGAAATCTGGAAGAATTATATATTTCTTGTTACTGGTTTTTTATCACAAGTTAGAAATGCGGTAATATCTATAAACTACCTGCAGCGGCTGATTAAATTAGCGCTACATAAATCGTCGAGTTAAGTTTCATTCTACATTATAGTTGTACCAAACTCCTATTATTACAAATTGTAAGTTTACATTCAGCGTTCGATAAGTTGAATCAGTATTCTAGTAATTTAGTGAATCAAGATGAAATCGGATAAATTAATTGTTAACGATGATCGCTAGAATGCGCTGAAACATATATAAGATAAATTTCTTCGATTGACGAAGTTCATACTTACTAAGGCGAGATAGCTTGTAGGCATCCGCGGTATTAATTACGTCTACGAAAGCCTGCAACTCAAACTTCCGAGTGCTGTTTTGGTTGTGGTTCAACATCGCATATTTGAAGGCTGACTGAACTTCGTCCGTGCCCTGCTCGAAAATTGCACCTAGAATCAGAAATGAAGAACACTCAGATTCGATCTAAGAAAAACGATCTTCCGAGTGCGACGCAACAATGCATACTAATACCTTGCGGAGAACAATGAGGAACGAAACAAAAAATAGGAAACTAGTGAAAATAAGAAACCGCTGAGTTAATTCAACGGCTTCAGAAGGTTTTAACGTTTACCAGTTGTTCGTAACCATTTTTCACATATTTTTTACATCTTATTTCTTAATTCTAATATTTAAGTTCTATCGATTTTTTAATGTTTCAACTGTTAATGAAATAATATCACAACAATCAGAAATTGAAGACAAAATTGAAGTATCCATTCACCACTTTATTCAAATAATTTATTCGAATAAACGGATAGATGATGATTCATGACGAACGAAGAATAATTGTTATTCCAATAAGATATTCGACTAAAAATAATTCATTCGGATAATTATCTTATAATTATCCGAATTATATATCTTATAATTAAGAATAATTCTCAATTCTACAAAGAACAAAGAATGGTCTCGTTTCATTAGCCAAAACCACAGTAAGTGGTTAACAGTGAATGGAAGGCGTGATTTGGCGGTTTCTAAGAATTCTTCGGGCCCGTTGGAAATATGATTATTGCGTATGTGGACCGAGAAATTGGGTGTAATAATCTAACGTAGCACCCTGTATTGGATGTATGATCGCATAGTGCACCGTTTGCCAGTGGCCCTCGTGTGGCACAGTAGTACGAGCCAACGTCTGCTCTGCCACTGTCGGCATACGACCCTCGTGTAATTACGTCGATCCATTCCCTGTTAATAGTCAGTAATACGTGCCGATATTAATGCTACCGTCTATCCAATAGTTTACCCTAAACTATCCACACTGCCGATATTCCGCTTAATTTCTCATTCTAATATTGTTCAATGCCTCAAATGATCCGCTGTTATCTCGACTTCTACGATCGATGATCGGACTTGATGAGCTTGAATCCGGACTCGCAGACTCGTTGCTTCAAGCAGACAAATTGAAAATCAACTTATTGGAACTACGAAAAAATTACGAAGTCAAATATAGGTTTTATTCTTTTTAAATATCTGTGTAAAAATGTGAAAGTTACTTCGAGTGGCCTGCTTTAACTGAGACACCTTGTATATTTAAAAAAAAGACTTAACAAAATATTTATATATTTCTAAATCAGAAATATAATAGAAAATATAAATTTACGTATATGATGTTTTGTAAAAATTTTTATTAGGAGGAATATAAATAATAGAAAACAGAAATATATAAATACGATATTTTATTAAGTTTTTCTTTAGATATCAGCAGCAATGTAAAAGTTATTTTGAGTCTATAATTACGCACACCACTTTATATGATTCGAGCCGCAGGAAACTAAGCGGCGTCGCGTCCCATTGAAATGATTTTCTTTATGGTTGCGGAAATCTCGCCGCTGAATTTGACTTTATTTTAGGTGTTTCTGTTTCTTTTCGGAATGAGAGAACTTTTCACGCGGCGAGAATGGTGCACGCCGTAACGTTACGTAATATTATTCCAGGATTTTTCTTATTTCTCAGTCGGTTTCTTTCGCGCCGGGGCCAATGTTACAGGCACGTTCCACTTTTCACAATTTCTCCCCGTTGCTGCGAAGCCGGGAAATCCTTAAAGAATCGCGTATCACTGCAAAGCGAATCACGTAGCTTTATGAAATCAAACGTCCAAGGCGTTTCTCTGCAAAATAAACAGTCAACAATCCCGGCATTTAAACGCTACTGTTCGCGCTTCTGTTATTCCACGATCTACAACTGGACGTTTAGTATGACGAGAGATTTCCCAAAATGTTCGTTACAATTCTTGCAATTCTACTACAAATCGGTCTTGCAACGATAATGCGTCTAAAGCATTTATTAAAGAACGTAAAAGAGAATTTATTAATTTTAATTTATTATTTTAATATTATTTAATTAATATTATTATTATAATATTATTATATAATTTAATATATTAATTTATTATTTAATTTATTATACAATTTAATTATTTATTATTGCATCTGATGTTTATTATATTTACAAACGTCCGAAATAAAAATTCTGTCTAAGTTTCGATATAAAATACCCCGTTTTAAACAATTAAATGACTTAGAAACTAGTATATACTTTTTATATGAATTCATAACCTATATGGAATAGTAAGTTAAAACTTACACAGTTCAATTCAGAAATTTCGAGAGCAATGTTTTGCTATTTCATAAAATCCTGTATAGTTTTCGTTTCGTAATGAATGACATAAATCACATAAAGACGTTTTAAAAAATGTAACGTAAAATTTTAAAGTTCGAATAAAATTTTATTCGATTGAGATAATAAATATTTAGATCATAATCTGATGAAGCTATTAACGAAATAAGTATTAATACGTAACATTCGAGATATAATCCTGAAATAAACCCGATTTTTCGTGTTTTCAAGTATTGCTGTATATATCCGTGAATAGTAAAGAATACAAGAGGTTCTGGCCTGTGTGGTTTTAAACCTCTCGTCTGTTCTACATCAACAAAACCCGCTTTTCTCTTTGTTCTCATCGAACATGCTTGTGTTTCTAGCTTTGAATATCATAAGAAACGTGTAACAACTCCGCGTACGCTGCTACCTTTTAAAACCGTGGCACGTTGATGAGCAGAATCCTGGACTCAAGAGAAAATTTATACAATGTTACAAGAGAAAATTTGTTAATTTCAAATGGATGGAAATGATAAAAAATGAAGTCCGACACAATTCCATATTAATTTTAAAACCTCGAAAGAATTATATTCCAGAGATATAAATTGTATGCATGTACTTTGGCATAAATAATTAATACATTCGTTTACACACGCCCCTTCGCCATTAATTAAAATATTATGTCTTTGTAGTTCATAAAATTTGGTATTCTCAGAATGCTCGTCGTAAAAACAAAATCATTTCCAACTATATGCCATCGAATAAACCAAATGGGATGCATACTACTTTTCAAGTGAAGAACCCTTTAATTGAAAATGGAGTTTTCCCTTCGTAATAACATTTATAAAACATGTATTCCAGAAAATGTAATGAAGCCATTTCTTTGATCAGGAATAAATTAATTGCGTTTGCGAAATGGACTTCTCATGGAATCCGCACAAATTTTCGAAGAAGTGCTGGATATACAAAATTACACTTCGAATCCGAGTTTCACGTTACATATATAGCTACGACGATGGTAAATACGGGGCACGCGAATGCGTTCAATTAATATGTCGAATTAATTGTAAATACGTGATTTTAATATGGCGTAAAATTCGCTGCATAGAACTTTCCATACTTTCAAATTATTTGGAACAGCTTGGGTCATAAATGCCTGATTGTAGTCGCACAATTTCATCCTCGTAATTCGTCAAACTTTTCCCAAGTACATCGTTACGAACCTATCCTTCCAAATTAGTAATGTCTCAGCCAGAATTTCCATTAATTTCCATTTAAAAACAGGAACTGTGTTGTAGTACTATTTATTGTAGTGTAGTATACACTTAATTACAATATTAAAATACATTATTGTATTGCATAAATAGAATGACACATCGTATTATAAATATACTGAACAGGTTTAAATGTGCAGTTATGATTTCAATGTCAATTTCGAGTGCACGAAGATGCTAGAATTCGACGTGTCTTAATTAGAATTTTTCTCGTTTGCACTGTATGTGTATACACATATCGCATAATCTTTATACAGCACGAACATCACAGTACACGTCAATCTCGCTATTCTTATTTTCATCGAGAGTTTATAGGCACTTCAAGTCAAGTACTATACGACATTTTATGTTTCTAGTGTATGAGGAGAGAAGTGGGTTTACTCCTTATTGTATTTACGATTGCGCATGATACAAATGTATACATAATTTGAGAAGTCTAATCCTTGGAATCATGTCTGCAAACGATATGAAAAATTCTTGTAGAATAGTGAGCAACGATGGCTGGGAGACAACCCAAAATTCGGTAAATATTGAATAATAGAACTGTGAATATGTTTCACCATGAAAAGTCTGAGATCTGTTATTTCGACCAATTCGATAATTAATTTGTTCATTTCTCGAAACCGAACAGCCAAAATAGAGATCGTTAAAAATAATGATCACTTATTAAATAACACATTGTGTTTTCGAGTATAACGCACTTGAAAATAACTATTATAAGATAATAATCAATAATTACAATAAGTAATCTTTATTCGACGATATCCATTTCTAAACAGTTTTAAACGTTCATTTGGAACTGGAGGAACCAGTCGTTTCGACAGCGATAAGTTTTAGTGTTAAAACGTAAACTGAAAAACCGATCGTTTCGACCGACACGATAAGTTCAGCGTTAACTTTGCACAAAAATCCACAGTCTAGACGTAAAGTATAATCTCTATCCCGAATTTTTCTCTGCAACCCCAGCTCGTCTAGTTTCCATTATTCCCCAAGAAAATCGTACGAATGAGTCTAGAAACAAAAAGCTCTGTTTGTGGTAGATCTGTTATGTTTTTCCACGAAGTCTGTCCGCGTCTTCGGTATCTGTCCAGAAAATCTTGTAACGAGCCCTGGGAAGAAGCAGCCGGTTGAACGAAGAACAAGCGTGTCTCGAAGTAGTCGAGACGAGCGTCGAAGCGGAAACTCCGCTCGTCTGCATCGACATTGCGTTCCCTGGTTATGCAGAAAGAAAGCAATAACGAAACCACGCGTACCCTACACGCCGGTGCTTTTAAATACCAATCTGGATACCCCTGTTTATCTCGGGTAGCGTTGACAGGTGGGGCGCCGCCGCGCGTCTATTGATTGGTGCCCAGTCCCCCCCACCAGAGTCTCACACTCACATCGATTCCTCTCGCCCTCCAGCCCCGCCACTCTGTCCTTCATCCCGTTCCACCCTCTTTCTTCCACCTAGCGTTTTCTGTCTGCCATCCTTCACCCTTCTTTTTCTCGGTCTTTCATATTTTTCTTTCACCCCC